AACTTGTCAATGATTAATAATTACAGTATTTGAACATAATAAATTTAATTTTTTTATAGTTCAATTTTTGGAACTCTTTAACCCAAATTAAATTTCTTCAAAATATTGTTTAAAGTAAATTTCTTCTACAAATATACTGTATTTATATTTATAAAATGTTTGTGAAACAATTATATAAATTATTTAATAAAAGTTTTTTTTTACCAAGAATAAAGTACACACTTTGAGTATAACCCAATAAATTAGAACTTTATTTATTATTGTTATCAATAATATTTAAGTAGCTTTAAATTTATAATATAAAAATTTAATAATTTTTCAATGGCCTTTAAATTAAATATATTTTTAAATGCTAAAATGGTTTCCTCTCATCTATCAATTTTTTAGAAATTTGATTTAAATTTATCATAAATTCATCTATATCTTCACTACTATCAATATCAATATAGTCATTATTATCTAAAATATTACTCTCTATTTTATTTAATTTTTTTTAGAAGGCTAAGATTTTTTTGTATTTTAGCTTGAGTTTTGGCTTATATACTAAAAAACTTGTATTTTTTTGCTGTCTATTCTGGTGATATTATATTTTTTCAAAAATAAGCTACTTTCTAAAATAAGCTACTCTTCTTTTGGACAAAAAATCTAAAAATTTCTTTTATCTAAAAATAAGCTACCCCAAATTTTCAAAAAATTTTTAACAGTTGCTATATATAAAAGTCAAAATTGTACCAAGTAAATATATATTATTGCACTATAAGTGCAAAATATACTAATAAAAAGTTATTCAAATTGTATAAAACTTTTAGAATATGTATATTTTTATATTTTGACAAATATATTTACTTAGTACAATTTTAACTTTTATATATAGAAACTACTTTTACTTAATAAAAATAATTAAAAATCAATTTGTCCTAAAAATAAGCTACTTTGGGAATTTTTGTATAATTTTTGGCCCAAAAATAATAGCATATTTTCAGAAAAATACAGTAACCTGTTATGATATTCTGTATATATATTACCCAATAGAGACCATACCTGTTTAGAAGTTGCGAAGTTAAGTGGAATTGATAAAAAATAATATGCAAATTTACTTAAATTCAGAGCTGTATTTAGTATAGTTTGCTAATATCTTAGTAGAAATTTTGTAAAACTTGGATTTTTAATGAATAATACAGAAAATAATCTCTCTTGACTCGAGTAATTCAACTATTCATCAATAAATTGGTCTTGATTATGATCTGGGTAAAAGTACAAAACAAGTAATATGCAGTTTTCTAAATATATAAATGTCATGTTAAATTTAATCCTTCTCTTTGATAGTATAGATAAAGAAACCAAATAATCAAAAAAAACTAGATTAAAGATTTTTTGTCAATAATTATTGATTTCTATTATTAGAGAATCTTTAAAATTATTATTAGTAAATGAGTTCTTATCAATAATTCCATAAAGCCATGTTCATGATGTAGCTACTTGACCCAATGTTGCCTTTTCTGTTTTAAAAATTTTTATAATATAGTTTTAACAACTCATAAAACAACTCAAGTTTTACCCAGAATATATTATCATTAATAATATTGTGAATATGATATTAAATAGAATGTATATACTGTATAAGTGCAATAACCTAAAAAAATAAAATTATATATTACTTAATACTATTAGCTCTGGTTATGGGTAACTTTAATCTAGATAAAGAATTTTATACATACTTTTAAATTTGTTTTAATCTCTAAAATAGTTTTTGCTGATATTGTAAATGTAGTCCAGTGGGTAATACAAGAATATTGAGGTTTCAATATCACATTGTTAGCTAATTCTCTTAATTTGAATAATGCAAGATCGGGGTTTTAAAAATGGTTTATAATTACTAACATTTTTTTAATAACTAGTGTAAAAAATCTTGATTTGACTATTTTTTTAACTAATAGGTTGGTTTGATGTGCTATACATAGGATTGTTAAAACTCTACTACCTATATCATGTTTCTAAATATAATATTATATAAAGTTAATATTCATTTATATATATAATATAAAAACTTTATATAGTTAAAATATTTACCTCACATATAAAATGTGCTTTTTTAAAATCAGGTTTGCTATATAAAATAAATGCTATCCACTTATTTAATCCAAGGTTTATTCCAATTTCTTTGTATATAGCAAATATATTATTATCTATATAATGCTGATTAAAGTAATTATCTATTTTTAAAATTTGACTTTAATGTTTTTTATTTGTAATAATAAAATTTTTCATGCTATTTTTTGATATATTAGTCCACCCATCACCAGATAGTGTTAAAAATATAAAATCTGATATAAAATATTGAACACTATTTTGAACATTTTTATGTATCTGTTTAAAATATCTGTACTTAGCTATTTGTGTGATGGAAGTTTATACTTAGGTTTTAACATATAAAATAGCTTAATTACTTCTAGATCTTCCACAAATAATAGTGATAAATTAGCTAAAATTAATACTTTAAGTAATTGATGATTAATGGATGCCTTTTCCCCAATAGACAAAATTGAAGTATTTTTAACTTTTGGTATATCATTTGTATTTGTATTAGAGTTAAGATTATCAACTTGAGGTAATGAATTATTTTTTTGTATATTTTTAGTTTCTTTAATATTGATATTTTTTAAAATATCTTCGATATTATTACGCTCATCTTGATGAATTTCTTCACATATTACTAATATATGTTTGACCATTTTTGAAGGCTCCCAGGACATTTTTGCTTGCAAAAATTACATTGTGCTAAATAGTGTAAACTGTTTCGCTTTTCATCTTCAGTAAACCATTGCCAAATTGGGTTTTTTTTTCTTCCAAATTTATGTTGAGGTGGCATTTGAATACTTGCAATGCAAAAATTTTTTTAACAAACTTGGGTGTTATATAGCATTTCTAACTTTTATTATTTTTTTGTAAACAATAAAACGGAAGCCAGTCAAAATCCTGGGAAATAGAATCTTGACAAAACAAACTTCGCCTGTATTGGGTTAGCATTAGCTGAATTCCGGAACTAACAATTTGGTTGTCCCATCACTAGTAATAACATTTAATTTATTTATTTAATAAATATAAGCAAAATCATCAGCTGGGCACTTTTCACTTAATGACCGGCAACGATTTTATTTTAGTAATCCTGGGCAAAATTGATAATTTCTGGCCCTACCGACCAGGATTTCGATGCATTCCGACCAGGAATTCTGTGAAATTATGTAAAAACAAGCCAATTTATCGAATTTTGTGGAATTTTGTGGCAGAACTACACAAATTTTGTGATTTTCACAAAATTTTGTGATTTTTGTGATATTTTGTGAAGCACAACATATCATCGTCCATGCCCTAAGGCACCTCAGTTGATTACAATAAACTCTTGCTACCGAATATTAAGATAAATAAGGTAGTTTATTACGTGAAAGAAAAATTTTAAATAGTAAAAAAAGATCAAGTTTACCATTTCACTTTTTTTCCCGAACCTCCTTTTTTCTGCGCTGATTTGTCAAAACTTTATTAAAGTTAATAAAGTATTGTTCTTGTAGATTTCATAAGCGGCACATTTTTTGTAAAATTTTCGATAAGCTATTTAGAATTATCTCAATTTGAGATTGAGATCTTTATTTTGTCTATCGTTGCAATTGAGTATAACTACAATTATTAGAAAATCACAGTAATAATAATGTTTAAATAATATCATCATTCGTATTTATTGACTTTTATCCACTTGTGCACTATTTCGATCACTATGAATTCGCGATGCTTGAGAACACCCATAATCTCTATACAGAACAGTTTAACATATAAAGCTAACCAATAAAATAACCTTGCTCGTCTTTCGTGTAAATTAATATTCATATAATAGTTCGTTATATCTAAATATGTATACATAATTCTGGCTGGTAAAAAAGATTTACTATTTGAGTTCGGTACAAAAAATCTGTTCTGCCAGATCTGGTTCGTTTCGATACATGCAGGTTCGGGTATGGATTGTTCTGAAGTATATTTGGTATCGTGAAACCATTGAAAATTGGATTTATTAAGCGCTCTATATTATACAAAGAATTTTAGTAGTATAATAAAACTGTGATTTATTTCGTAAATGATAACTACATGAATACAGGGATATATATTGTAAATAAGGATGCCAATGGTCAACCATTTAGCATAAAAAACAAAAAATTAGGATATTGAATTATTGAAAGTTATGTTCATTTAAGATTTTAATTGACGAAAGACTAAACCAAGTTCCACCATTTTGTCAGCGCCAAACCATTATATTTCTACTATATAATAACTATAGTTCTGACTCGTTAAACCCTATTTAAGTTACAAAAAAAAGAAAGTTCTATAAATATAACATGAATATAAGAGTATATCGATTTAAAATCAATAATTAGAGATTTGTTCAGATAAAGGTTTTTCATCTTACGGAAAAGGGCGAAGGTGGGTTCTCCTTACTTAAAAGGTTCCTTCGCTGATCTTTTCATATGAAATATTTTCTTTTCATCATAAAATCTTACAAGAATGAAATTGATAAAACTCTCTTACCTAAATAAAGGGCAAACAAGTAAAATTATCCAATAATTACCTAAATTAAAGTAATAGATAATATTTTTAGTACTTATAATAATCAACAAGCAAAAAATATTAAAATTCTTCTAGTTCCTCATCGATCTTGGTGATAAATTGCAACCAACACGGATTAATTCTGGATGCACGTGTGGTTTTAATCATTGCAGCTTCTAACTTCTTTTTGTAAAATGACGTACGTACTTTAGCAAATAAGAAAAACAAGGGAATCTACATAGCTAACAGTTATTCGAAAAGTCGTGGTATGTTAGTCAGGTTTGACCTTTCTTAAACACGGGTTACGGTTGGTTAATCAAAAAAATTTTCAATTTATCAATCACATTAATCACGTGAATACGATAAATCTGGCCTTCGTGTAACTTCTTTCTAGCTCTAGAAGTTAAAACATGTCTAAGAACTCTCGTACTGGAAATTCACAATCCTTAACCTTGGTAATAAAACTTGGCACATCTTCAATATGTGATATAGAAACGAATCTACCGTTGCTATCTAATCTTTCACTTCTGGTAGAAACGATAGTAAAATTACGTTCTTTGGGTCACCGAGTAGTTTTGGTCACAAGTGGTGCTATAGGAATAGGTTTGAGACGATTAAATATGGATAAGAAACCGAAAAGATTGAAAGAAATTCAAGTAAGTATTTAAAGTCTATTTCTATGATAATTCACTTTATCGATTAAGGTTTATAATGATAATAATTATTTGTCTGATTGAAAGGCTGTGGCGGCGGTTGGTCAAGGAAGGTTGATGAGAATGTATGATGATTTGTTTAGCCAATTGAATCAACCGATTGCTCAAGTTCTTTTAACTAGGCATGATCTAGCAGATGTATTTATAAATTTCTTCTAATACAGTCTGTTTTCTAAGGATCTTTAATAATATAGTTATGAATCTTTAATAGCGTACACAATATCTTAATGCGGTTAACACATTCTCTGAGTTATTAAACATGGGTGTGGTTCCTGTTGTTAATGAAAATGATACCATTTCTGTGAGCGTAAGTAGTTTATTACTAAATAAAATAATAAGATTCATTCTTTTAACGTTTACCTATAAATAAATAAATAAATATATTTGAATTTTTTAATAGGAAATCAAATTTGGTGATAATGATACTCTTTCAGCCATAACGGCTGGAATGGTTAATGCGGATTATTTATTTTTGATGACAGATGTTGATTGCCTGTATACTGATAATCCCACGACAAATCCAAACGCTAAACCTGTGGAGGTAGTTGAAGATGTCGGTGCTTTAAGAGATAAAGGTTTGAATTCATAAAATTCAAATAATATTTAAAGTCATTTTTTGATTTCATCTTTTAAGAAACTTTCATATATATCAGTTATTGTTTCGTCACCCGGAAGTTCACTTGGAACAGGTGGAATGGTAACAAAATTAATTGCGGCGGATCTTGCAACAGCGGCAGGCGTAACGACGATCATATGTCGTGGATCAGCACCTAAAAATATAATATCTATAATTAATCATCCTTTCTCCGATAATAAACAAAGTTCAGAATCATTACCTCTTCATACGCGATTTCTTGCCAAAGACAACCCGATGTTGGATCGTAAATGGTGGATATTGCATGGGTTGCATTCTGTTGGTACTATATTTATCGATGAAGGTGCTGTTAAGGCGATTACAAAGGTGGGTCAGAAGAGCAGTTTATTCGCAGCTGGGATCGTCAAGATTGAAGGATATTTCGTTGCAAACCAAGCTGTTGATTTAAAGATCGAAAGAACTATAAAACATGAAGATACAAATAAAGCTGAAGCTGTAATGGTTGGAAAAGGATTGGTAAATTATTCTTCCACAGAGATTTCTAGAATCAAAGGATGTCAAAGTTCAGATATTGAAAAATTGTTAGGGTATGCTGATTCTGAATGCGTTATTCATAGAGATAATTTGGTGGTTACAATAAAAATCGATGATTGAGAATTAATGATACGAAATCATGTATCAAAACATTGGAGGGACATAATTGATATTATTAAGTAATTCATGCAGCACGAGGGCTTTTTATATCTATATAATATATATATAATGTATTAAACTAATGAAAATCTAGACAAATAATTTCTCTTTACATATTTTATATAATTGATATTTATTTAATAACTTAATAGTAATTGAATTAATTTCACTACATGCCAACCTTTAGCATGATTGTTTTTCCATCAGAGTATTTTTTTTTACAATAGATGAAATATGACTTTATTAGTTTTAATTGATGTAAAAGAATTCTTACTGATATGTTGTTGTAAGAATTTGTTTAGATGAAATCTACATCGTAATAATTTTATAGATTACTGTATTTGCATTTCCCTGCGCGTTGTTTTGAAGCTTTATTTTGAGTAAAATATAATTTCAAAACCTTGTATTGCGCGTTATTTCATGGGCGATACTGTATTTCATTTATTATAAAACGCACTTATGGTGATTTTTGCACCTATTATATGTTTTTATATATTTTTCCAAGTTTTATAAGTTTTCTTTATATAAAATTCTTAGCATAAATTTTTCATGTTTGGGTTAGTATTTAGTGATAGAATTAAAGTTTAGGAAGGGTTTTTGAGGATGTAGAGCATTTTTACTTAAAGTATCGCATATTAATCAGTTAGCCAGTTTTAAGACAATGCAACATAGGTGGTAAAACACCATAGGTGCGTTTTAGTAAAGTGCTGTATTTTGAATAATTTAACTAATTTTTTAAAAAAAGTCAATTCAAATTAACGTCTGGCCCGCTATTACGTGTAAATGCGGTATACAATAATCCTATACTAAATAAAAAAATTTTTAAATGCATATCAATGATTTTTATATGTATCTTTAATTAATAATATAAATTAAGAAAGGACAGAAGACGCATATATATAAGTGTCGCCAAACGAAACGAGGAAGTCTAAATACAGATTATTTATTACAGGCCATTTCGTATTCTGTTTTCTTGCAGTTAGCTGTATTCTTCATGACCAAATTTGATTATCTCTTTTTGGTCCGGATCCTTGATCATGCCTAATTTCCTATAGAAATTTTTTATTTGAAGTTGTTAAAGTGACTGTGTCGCGAAACAACGGGCATGGGCTTATAAAAATTTGGCATGCATGCATACAGATCGAATTTTGAGATATCAGCAGAATATCAGATGTCGATATGTCTGATAGCTAACCGATTTTGGCGTGTATTTTCACCTATCGGAGGATATTGGTTCCCGATAGGCATAACGGAAGTATCTGAAAATACGCGCCAAAAATCGGTTAGCTATCGGCGTCCTGTTGATCTCTCTCAGAAATGTTATAGAAATTTTAAAGTTTGACCTATGATGGTTTCAAACTAACACCCACAAGATGACGCGCACCCTATATTAGGGCCTCAACAAATAACAGGCATGTCTAGGATAAATTTTATCTTTGTCTCAAAATAACGCCCATGTTGGGGATCGACGTATACTATGTAAATCAAAACTATATGTGGTTATATAATAAAATTTATTAATGAAGATTTTTAGATAGATTAATAAGTTTATAATAAATATTAGAAAATTTTAAATAGATGCACAGCCATAACTGTTCGATAGTTTTGGATAAAATTTAGTATTATATCTCTGCAAAAAATATTACGGAGCCAATCTATTAAAAAAGAAGCTAAATTAGTTGCTTTTTTTTTTATTAAAAAAAAAAAAACATACATAGTATATTATTTTTTTTCATATTTAAATAAAAGAAATGACTCAGTAACTTTGTTTGTATTGATCTAATACAGGTCTTTGCAAAATTTTATCCAAAACTATCGTTAGAGCTGTGCATCTATTTAAAATTTCTAATAATTATTACAAACTTATTTTACCTATCTAAAAATCTTTATTAGTAAATTTTATTATATGACCATATATAGTTTTGATTTACATAGTAAACGTCGATTTCCAACGTACTACGTATACTGCAAATAACGCGCATATATACTCAAAATAACGCGATAACCGGTCTAGATATAGACGAAAATTCACACATAAGTTTAAGAGTTATACGAAGCCCCATGAGTTTGATAACTCGATTGCGTTTAACAAGCGAAAGAAATAAAAAATATCAATGATACTAAATATATATTAATAATTAGAAAATCTTTATACAGTTTTGGAATTACGTAGTCTAATGACAAATATAATACGTACAGTGCAGCACAGTATAAACCAACACTTAGTAAAAAAACGCCAATTTTTAAATTTTGATTGGCTAATTTATATAATCAATTGTGATTGGTTAAAAATAACATCAATTTTTTTTTATATATATACAACTTACTCTCGTTATAGTGAATTCCTCGGGCTGAGAAAAAAAATATTCACTATAGCTTATATCAAGAGAATACTATATGTACTTCACTATATCGAGTTGGAGTTTAATAATTCCGGAATTCAAAAATTCTTCAGTAAAGCCAGAGTTGAGCTGTATAATAAAATGCCAAAATTTCAAATCATTATAAACTTTAAATTGATATATCTTCTTAAAATTAAAATAAAGTAAAAACTTTTTTAGCCAAATTGTAGCTAAAGCTTAAAGCTACAAATTGGCTAAAAGTTTAAAAAAAAAGGTTTAAGTTATTATATTATTTTTTGTAAACATATATAAAAAAAGTGCTGATTTATGCTGTCCTGCACTGTATATCAAACATAAGTTTACATAAATGTAGGCAGATTACAAAAAATCTTATTTAGCCAGCACAAAAACAAAACTTATACATAATTAAACATAACGTTTTCAGGTTTTTTAGTCCTGAACAGTAGATTCATCAGTAGTTAAATTAGAATATTCTGTAGACTCTTCATAGGTAATTTTTGATTTTGAATTAACATCCTGATCCAGAAAGTCTTCATTATAAACCATAAAGTCATCACTTTTTTCTGATTCTGCTTCACTTGGAGGTGGCGGTGGGGGCATACGAACAGTCAATTCTCCATGTTTTTCGATTGCTCGAAGAAAATTTGACAATTCAATAGTAGATTTAGTAACATGACCTAATCCTGTCATAATTTTGTTGCTAAGTCGCCATTCTTGTGAAATATCTTTAGCCAATGTAGATATTTTCACAGTTGCCTATTATATATTAATAATTTAATTTTAGTTTAAGTTCTCGAACCGAACATTAAATTAAAATGGTTAATACCTGGAGAAACACGATTGTGGTACTATAAACATTTAGCTGTATGTTCAAATTCTCATTTTGAGAAAATCTTGCAGCAAATATAGACTTTTTCAATTGCCTTGTTATATCCAACGCGTTTTTCATATGTGATTTCAGCTCTTTCAATTTTATTTTTATAGGAGATGCAGGAACATCCGTTGATGAACCAAGAGCATTCTCGAGGTGCTCACCTAAATGTTTTCCAACATTTTCAACCCATTTGATAGCTGCATCAACTTTTGTGAGCATTTGTTCAAATATTAAGGCTGGAAATGTAATATCAGTACGAGAATTATTAGTCATTGATATTCCAGCAGATGAAACATTTATTCCATTCATGTGTGAGGAAGAACCGTTAGACAAAAGTCCAGTAGAGTAGGAATGCCCATTAACATTGCTAGTACTATTTGATCGCGATATAGATTTTGAACGCATGGGTGTAGGTATTCCCGTAAAAGGCGTAGTGTTATTTAAAAGAGGCAATATATTTTCCCATGCAAACTTAATATCTACTATGGCACCATGAAATATTAACAAAAGCGTGCGTGAATATCGCAAGTTATCTGGTGATTGTGTTAAAGTTCTGATACGTTTGTTAAATAAATCTAAAAGAATTTTAAAATTTGTTATATTTTCTTGGCATGAGCTTAATAATTTAATGCAATGATCAGCGTCTGGTGCGGCTTTTTGTGAAAAAGTGTCAAATTTTTGTAGTCTCATGCTTAGTTGTCCTATTGATGTATTTGTTTTATTGAGTTCTGTAAAAAATATTCTTTCACTGCCGGTAAAGGATATGAATTGACACATCGCTTTATGTACTTGAGACAAAGCGTATAAAATGTTTCGACTAGCTTCTCTTAAAGACAAACCGCTCATTGGAAGATTATCGGTTAGAGCTAGTGTTTTAAGTTTTTGAAAATAAAAATCACTACTATGCTCTTCTGAAATACTGCTTTGGCTACCATGTGAACTTATTGAGTCTTGTGAATAACTTTTCGAATGCGTCCGAACAAATGTACTTCGAGAATTCTTCGATACAGAATCAAATTCATTGCTGTAACTCCTTTCACGACGTGCTATCGGAAAATCTAAAAATAACTTAGAATTTGGCCGTTTCTTTTCAAGCTTGGATGATACTTGTTCACTTTCAATTTTGGTGATAGAACTTTGAAAATTAGGAGTTGGATGAAAATATGTATCAACTGATGTAGCTTTCTTCAATGATTTACTACGTGCTATTATATTTTTCTCAATTCCATTTTCACTATTACTAACAAAAAATCCGCATCCATATATTAAAATGTTAATTTATGAATAAATCAAATTTATAAATATATTATTTTGTGACGAACCTGCTATCATCACTTTCCTCCATTTCAACAGAATTTCGTCCAACTACATAATACAGAATATGTTTAGAGACTATTGAAAAATTTTAAATGTCAAAAATAAACAAGCATGCCTGCATGTTGCCTTAAGTATTCTTTTAATTTAGTTAGCCAAGGTACCATAATTTCTTTATCTTCTCCTTTTGGCATATTATGGATGGTTTTGGGAGGAAATTGAATTGGGTTATTATCAATTTTTAGATATTGTAATTCCTTCATATCTGCGATATAAAGAGGAAGCTTCTTTATAAGATTTCTAGATATTTTTAATAGCTGAAATTTTATAAATAGATTAAGTTTACTATTTATGATTAAGTTACAATGTTATACGTCAAATTTCTATTTTTCCTAGTCATGATTCTATGTGCATTAGAGCTTGGTCGCTACAGACATAGTGTAAAGACAATCTTCATTTGAAATATTATATTAATTCACGTCCGTTAGGAATTGAATCGCAACTTGACACATCATAAACTGATCATGATTCCACGTTACATCAAATAGCGGCAGAGTTCTAATGTGTGCCACATTGAAATTCTAGTGCGTTCATAATTTAACGTATAACAGTAATATGAAAAAGATAATATCATACAAGAATAAACTTAAATTAGTTAACCTTCAATGTCATCAATTTTCCAAAATCCTTTGGTAATTTCTTAATTTTGTTTTTACTAATATCCAATATCTCCAAACTTGGGATTAAACACAGCTGTAAGACAAATATTTAATAATGTTAGCATTGATGTTTAGTACGTGAAATATAAAGTATACAAATTACAGTTACCGCTTCAGGAAATTCTTTAAACTCATTGTTAGAAACATTTAAATATCTTAAATATGTTAAGGTACAAATTTCTGTGGGAATTGTTGACAAATGGTTTGTTTCAAGTCCAAGCCTATATGAGAAAATAAATTAATTGGCTACAATCCAAAAAGACCAAATTCTATTTTATTCGCTCCCGAAGGAATCTTACCTTTCTATTCTATAATTATTTGAAGTTGTCAAATTGATCAATTCCAGCGGAATTTCGTGAATACCACTCATTCCTAATCTTACGGTACTAGAATCTTCTTCAAGCGAATTCTGAACAATTTCAATTAGTTCTTGAACCTTACTTTCTGACATATTATCTATAATCTTATTTATAATCCTTTCTAGTCGTAACTAAAAGAAATAAAAAATAAAAAAAATAAAAAAAAATAACTATTACGATTATTGTTTTCTCTAAACGTTAATTTTTAATGATTTAGTAATTGCCTTTGAGACGCATGCAAGCGTAAATAAATCTCGAAATAAATGCAATATCGACAAGCTTTGTACGGGAGCGTAAAGGACGGAGGTAATGGATAAATGATTGTAATCGGAATGTCAATTTATTTAATAAATATCGTGGCAATTAGCAAATTTAATAAATTTTACATCTGTCAGTAACACTGCAGAAAAAAAGTGAAAATCTACATATATACTTGCGTCCGTTTTAAATTATGATTTACATTGCGTAAAAAATATCGATATGGTCGTACTGCATAATAATTCCTAAAAATCATCATAATCAACTTCTATCAGATGACATACTGTCAATGACTTGCTCAAGTAGAAAAAATAAGAACACAGTGGTAAATTTAAAGGTTTTATATATTTTACAGATATATTAATCGCATTAACTAAATTGATTCATTTTATTCATTTATTCATTCACTTATACGAAAATTTCATTGTCATAGAACTTATCAATATTTAGATTTAACTTGATTTAAAACAATTATATTGATTTCTCAACCTAATATCGGTCGAAACAAGTTTTAGTGATTTAATCAATAACTAGCTTGAAGAAACTCTTTAAATGGACGTCCATAAATAATGTAATAAAAAATATCACGAGCTACCGTATATAATGAGCAAATAGTAATACCTACTGTGTTTGTTGATACGGTATTAGAAGAGGATGAAGACAACTCTAATATTACAATACTCAAATTCAAATCTCTAGCAATAATTGCTATTTGTTATTTAGAATTAGCCAGAACAGCGGTTCTTGCTATTTTTATAACTTGTTTGGCTAGTTTATTTTTTATTAAATAGTATTTTATTTATACTGATGTTTTATAGTTGTTTTAAATTTTTTCAATCAAAAATTATAAAATGCACTGAACACCATATATAATTTTTATTAATAAAATTTAGAGTTAGGGTGCAGTTTTAGGATAAAGGGGAGTTTTATATAATATAATATAGATTAGATATAAGGTCCTAATTTTAGTTTTTGGGAGGTTTTCAGAGGTTCTAAACATTTTTACTTAGAATACCTGATCCCGTTTACTTAGTATGTTTTTGAAAATAGCACTTATGGTGTTTAGCACCATAGGTGTATTTAGTTACCTTGTTTTTAGTAATAATTTTAATATATTTATATATATTTACATATTTAAAATTAAGAATTACTTTTTTGCAAAATTAATTTTTATATACAGTCTACCTACCTTCATTAATATTAGGGGAATTTACAAATAAGGGTCCATAAGGGCCCTATTTACTATATCTCATGATACAGTGAACGAAATTTAATGATTTTGATACCATTCGAATCGTCTCGTCAAGATGGATCGGATGGTACTAAAATTCCTAATTTAAATTACTGGATTACGAGCTATTAAACATTTTCTAAAATCTGTTAAAATCGTGATATCTTGTTATCCAGTAATTTAAATTTAGCAATTTTTGTACCATTCGATCTGTCTTGACGAGACTATTCGAATGGTATCAAAATCATTAAATTTCGTTCACTGTATCATGAGATATAGCAAAATTTTCTAAAATAGGACCCTTAGATCTAATTATTTTACTTTTATTTGTAAATTCCCCTTAATATTAACCTTATTAATATTAGTCTAAGTCAAATAAATTTTTACAAAATTAAAATAATATTAAGATTCTGTGATCAGAGTTTAAATAGATAATCTTCAAACAGGTTATAGATATAGCAGTTAGTATAAAACCTTAAGCAAACTGCTTAAATTAGACAATCTAAAATTGTATGTGTAATTAGCTATACATTTAACTTTGTAGATTTATATAACTATAAATAAATCCTTCAATAAAGTTTTAGCAAATATAGTAGATATTATCTTATTTTGGTAAGATATAAATTATCTGTTTGTATTTCTCATTAAGTCACCTATTTAGGTTAATTTAACCGGAAAGTATAAAATAATTTGTTAATTAAAGTATTCGAAAACAATGTATGCACTTCTTGTTAGTTTTACCATCCATGCTGATTTGGTTGATGAACTTTTATTCAAGTTGATTCGGGCATTATTATTTATTAATTGAAATATTCTATGTATCTATTATTAATTTCTTATTCGTGTTGATTTATGATTCTTATAACTTGATTTCTGATTATAAATTTTAATCTTATCTGAAACAAAGTTTTATGGTGCACTTGCAAAGCTCATCTGCTAAATATTTTTCCTTCAATCCAGTCTTTGATTTAAAATAAAAAATAAAATAAAATCAACATGTGAATTTTAATATGTCAAATCATTAGAAGTATTTGAATGTTTAATGAATATTCAATGAATTTATTCAGAATCTTAACCAATATCTGAATATTAAAAAAAAAATTAGATTAATAAATATCCAGATAGTTAGTTTTAACTAGATCAGATTATATCTCAGAGATTCAATTATTTCAAGGATTGTTTCTACAAAATGCATCGGTTAATGTATTCATTCTTCTAATTTGTGTTTATATTAGAAGCCAGAAAAGTAATCTTGTAAGCGCATCTATTAATACTTTTTTCTTCTTTTGTTCTTGCAAGATATACTTGACAATGCCTTAATAACAAATAGAAGTAAGTCAATAGAAATTAAGCAAATTTTTTATAATAAAAAATTTTTATAACTTTAAACAAGAATAACTTAACAAAATTTTAACCAAATTTAATAAAATTTTTTTTAAAATAATTGTTACAAACTTGTAGTATTAATTTAAAAAATTTATTAAATTTGGTTAAGTTTTTTGTTGTTATTTTTTGTTTAAACTTTAAAAAAATTTATTAACTCAACCCCAAATAATGATTATACAAATTATAATTTTTATTTTGTTATATTTTTTTGCTAATTATTTTTTGTTTTGTTTTTTTTTTTTTTTTGGTTTGTTTCTTCATTTTTTTATTTTTTTTGTTTTATTTTTTTATTTTTTTATTTTTTTTATTTTTTTTTTATTTTTTTATTTTTTGAAAGTTTTTTTTATTTTTTTTAGAATTACTATAGAAATTTCCAGTTATACAGATTAGCAAGATCTAAATATAAGTGTTTTTTTTAGTTTTTCTTTTTTTACTTGTAAACTAATTTATTTATTTGTAGTAAATATTTTAGTGCTTTTTTTTCTCTGATTTTGCCATTTTGAGGTTTTTGCTTTTGCTAATATTATTTTTTGGTTTCATTGTATATTAAAGCCTTTACTTGGAGTTATTATATATAGTGCTTTTGCTTATATACTAGATTTGTTGCTTGGAGTTGTTGTGCCTTCATTTGTATATTAAATTTTCACTTGAAGTTATTATTGTGTAGTGAAATCATTACTTTAAGCTATTATATATTAGTGTCTTCATCATTGTTAGTATAATATTAATTTTATATTATTATTTTTGGCATATTACTAATGTTCAAATATGTATTACTATTTTTATTTATTTTTTTTTGGTTTGTTCTTTACTAACTCTTGTTTATATACAATATAATATTTATTATCTATAGTATATTTTAGTAGTATCATAAAAAATATTAAAATTAAATTAATATATATTTATTTTTTTTAAAAAAAAATTTAACAATTATATCACTATTTAAATGCTTTATTGATAAGTAACTTTACAAATAAAATTTGTTTATTTGCTATTATAGTGCTAGATCTGAAAAGTGGCTTACCTGGTTACTTTTAGGTATTTAAGTACTGCTAGCATCTATATATAACTTGCCAAAAATAAGTTTGGTCTTTCTAGTTTGAATTAATCTACCTCAGAAAAATCTACTTCGAATCACTGTTCTGGTTTATCAGCCTATTATAATTATCTTTTTTTTAATCTTCTTCTCTTAGCCTCCTAGACATAAGATTTTAGTTTGCTTATTTTTATGCAGATTATTTTTATTTATAGTAACTAGTTTGTTTATTTTTAACTTTTTTTGCAAATTTTTCTATATTTAGTAATTATTATTTTTTTTTGGTATTAAAGTGAGGTATTGCTTATATTTTTATTGATTAATTTATATAAGTAATTACATATTAACTATATAAAAACTTAATTTGTATAATAACAAATAAATATAAATTATATTCAAGAATAAAAGCTCAAACTAAAAGCTTAAACTAAAAGCTCAAACCAATTATCTGCGATCTAAACCTACTAGAGTAGTCAAGATTCACCTAGGTTTAAATTGTTAGAATTTGGTTAATAGGTATACTATATTTGATCCACATAGTAGACCAAATATTAAATTTAAAAGTAGCTTGTTCTAGAGAAAGACAAGTATTAAGTTCAGAGTGTAATTGGTTAGCAAAGTCACAAAAACAACTGTAAGTATAGTTAAAGAGGCTGACAAATATTAGCTTATTATACCAGTAGAGACAAAATGGGAGTTCTGGCACAATTTTTGTTACCGATATCGATCTTGCATATAAATTTGCTTTTGTGTCGTCAAATCAATGATTTCTATCTAGAACACTTTTATTTACCCAAATTCATATCAAAATGGATAAATGACGATAAATTTACGCTCACATCGTCACT